ATAGAAAAGAGACTTTTTAAATTACAGTACATCAAAATCACGAGATAAACCGACGCAAACAAGTAGAACATAAACGTCGGAAAACGAACCCTAATTCGCAAAATGGAATCGTCCAACATTTTTGATCAGTATCTTGAACCACTCGTCGGCAACGCGAAGAGATTTTAATCCCCAACCACGCGTTGTAGACGGGTATACGCGTTGCTTTATTTTGCGAGGCTCCCTAAATGGAGTGTCTAAAAATCATGTCAAATATAGTTGGGATACATATGTTTTCTATATACAGTAATAATTATCTTGCATGTTAGGCTTTGTGGATGACGCCACCATTGCGACAGTTTCTGAGGAGTTGAATCTCAGCTGGAGAAGGTTTGGTGTCCGTTTGGGACTTAAGTGGTCGAAAGTGAACAAGTTCAATGCTGATGATATGCAGACTCAAAGGGCTATCGAAAATATGATGAATTACTGGAGGAGCAGCCTCAGTAGCGATATTCATCAACGTAAAATGCTGTGCACTGCTCTGAAACAACATAACCACAGGAGACTAGCTGAAGAATTGTTTGAGGGTGAAATTAACGAAAATCTCGTCACTCAGCAAGCAGGTATCTTAAGGATTTCAGAAATTTTATTTTTTTCAGGTATAAAAAACATTACGAAAGGGAGAACAAGTCTGGAATTCTTGTATTACAGAATATAAAAATACATAGAATGAGAGATATCAAAAAACATACACAAATATTGTATTACAGGTATATTAACAATGCATTACAAAAAGATGAGTAAAATTATGAAATACAATAGGTTAAAATATTTTGATTTACAGTTGGCTTTACAATAATGTGATGAAATATCAAAATATAGATATATATACTGTATATATAAATAGAATATTAATTATGAAAGTTATACATTGTTTTTTTAAATATGAATTTATTATACTTGACATTTAAAATATTTAATAATATAATAAATAAATGGCACCTTATTGAGGGTTAATTATTTGAGCAATAAAAAGAATAGCAGAACGTTATCTGTATTTGCTTTCAGCACTTCATATGTCCTGGCATTAGATCTAAGGTTAAATTTTTGCATGCGGCAAGTAGGGAGCATGCCTCTGTGTTGGGCTGTGATTTAAAAATACATAGGAAGCCTCACATTTTTTTCTGTAGCTCGTCATTAAGTATGTGTTTTACTCACTGTATATTATCTATCATTTTTATTTAGGAAAATGTTTCAATGATCAAGATTTGCTGTTCATTTGTGACAATCTGGATAACGAATCATGGAGGAGACTGGGAGTGCGTCTTGGACTCAAGTGGACCGACATAAAAAAGATAGCAAAAAACAACAGATTGGTGGAAGACTGTATCATGGAATTGCTGGTTACTTGGAGGGATGACCAATTAAAGAGCCAACAAGTACCAATCATGATGAATGCTTTGAGACAACAGAAGCTTGTTAGACTTGCAGAAAGTGTACGTAAAAGGCATGGTTACAGTGACGAGGCAGAAGTTCCACCAACTCAGATAAATCTGCCCCAAATTCCAACACCCGTGCAAGGTTAGTAAAATCTAATAAAAAAAAAAATACTGCTGTTCTCCAAATGTAATACCATTTTTGCACATCCTGAGAAACATTGCTAGCACGATCCCGATGCATCAAGTTTTATGCGCTTTTATACAAATAAATATATTTCAAGATTATTTTCTTCTTACCTCTTGTCACTTTGCAAACTTGCATGATCACTGGACCCTTCAAATTGATTTGATCAAACTTGACCCCTGTTGTAATATAGTTGAGAACTCCTTGTACACTTAGTACATCCCCAAATACTTGTGAAGAAAAGTCTTGCAAGTAATTCAAGTGTGAATCAAATCCACAGCATCATGGTGTCATAGCCATTAGACCACTGATCTTTCGCTTAGTATTTGTATTTAAAAATATTTGATGATCAAGATTTGCTGTTGATTTTATGAATATCCATTTAAATAATAGAGCAAGCCTTTTTCCTAAAAGGATTTGTCTACACAGTATTATTATTGGAAATTTTGTTCTATTACAGGTTGCTTAGATGATATTGACATGGTGTTTATCTCTGACAAACTTGTTGGCAAAGACTTGTTAAATTTCGGCATCTACCTTGGTATGGAGAAACATGAAATAAATCGAATTGAGTCAGACTTTTCACCACCAATTGTAGACGCCTGTATTGAAATGTTGGTACAGTGGCGAGAAAGACAGAAAGCTGAAGTAAATCATCTCAAAACAATTAGTGAAGCCCTGAATAAACTTGAACGAATAGATATCAAGGAAGAACTTGAATCATACTACCAGAACAAATACAGAAAAAAAATTGATGACCAATCAACAAACCAAGTTACAGTCATGATGAATGCTTTGAAGCAACAGAAGCCTGTTGTACTTGCACAAGGTGTGTGTGAAAGGCAAGGCTACAGTGATCATTCAGAAGTTGCACCAACTCAGATAAATCTGAATAAAAAAACAAAACCAATGCAAGGTTAGTGATCTTTATTGCCATTTTTGCGTTTACTATGGAACATTGCTGGTACGATTCCCTTGCATCACGTTCTGTGGACAATAATATTTTGAATGTTGGGTTCAATAAAAGAATAATTAAAGATTGTGTTATTTCTGGTTGATAATAAAACTACTACAGATTCTAGTCTTTCAGTCATGTTAAGAAATGTTAAGAAATTCATAAAAAGAGTGCATGATTACCATTGATTATGTTGGAGCCAATTGTATGAACTTTAATGAATACTCAATGTATGGAGTAGGTAGTATGAATAGTATCTTTTATTGTGTATTTTTTATTTATAAAACTTGGAACCAGTAATATGCAAATGAAGTGTATTTTAAAGCCAGTAGTTAATGTTAATAATTATTAATATTTTCAAGAAAATGGTAGATAACATACAGGTCAATCGAAACGTAGCTTAGGGCTGTTTAATTAATTGGTGTTACCACCCCACATAGCAGTTCCAACAATTGGGGAGAAATTTTGTTACATAGCTCCCCTCTTAGCCCGAATCGTCCCTTGAATCGAATATAAACTTTACACATAAATAACAAAATTTCTTTAAGATAACAATAAGCCTAATCGAAGGGTCTACTGTGCCTCCAATTTGATTACTCATTGACATAAAAGTCTAATCGAAGGGTCTACTGTGCCTTCGATATGATTACTTGTTGACGAACTCTAACAGAGGATCTAGTGTGCCTCTGTGTCATTAACTAATTTAAATAATTATTAACTTTTTTTAATTAAAAACACCAAACAGAATTGAACTATGTCCTCTGACGTAGAAAGTGTCCTCCACCTTGTCTTAAACTTCAGTAACTTGAAAAAGTATCGCCCCTTGCAGTCCCGGCAGGTCTGCTTCCAACTTCCGCTTCGTCTTTAACTGGTTTTGAGGCTGACAACATGGCAGGTTTCCCTTTTTTAACACAACAGATTTTTGGAGCAGGCCAGTGTCCATTGTCTCCTCTACTAATGTTTCTGAACTGGAGAATAACTGCAAAATTTTCCCTTTCTATTCCTGAACTGCAGACTTGGCATCAAATTCAGTATCCTTTTTTACTTTTTGGACCACCGCTCGGCCTATCATGACTCATTTTTTTTACTAATTTGATTTACTCCAAAATCACCTCAGGGATATTAATTTCTGATATTTCCAATCACTTACCTTTCTTTCAGATTATTCAAAATTTTACTTTAAAGACTAAATAATCTGATGACTACTTTATATATAATATTGATAATGAGTCCGCTTTAATTTCTGATATGGCAAGAACTGATTGGGCAGAGGTTCTTTCCGAACAAAACTGCAACACTGCGTATGAAATGTTTTATTCTACCTTTCAATCAAGGTTAAAATAAAAGCAACTAAGTATTCATGGATAACATCAGCTATTCTAAAATCTAGCAATAAAAAACATCTGTTATATAAGAAGTTCTAAACCCTCCATTGAAAATAGAAAATCATATTGCAATTATCATGATATTTTTGTAAACATCTGTGAAAATGCCAAAAAAAAAACTGTTTTCATAAAAAGCAATGTTAAAAATAACTTGGAATGTAATAAATACGATTATCACACCAAGAAACCATACGAAGAATCATATTACAAATAACATGTTCCACCTTAATACAGTACTAAAATTTTAGGCACTCGAAATATAATACTTTAATGGTTACTTCATAAATATTACTAAAAACTCTTCTGTTAGTGAAAACCCAATGGATTATTTTAATAATATAATTCTATAACTAATTTTTATTATTCCAATCATTGATCAAGAAGTTCTTGATTGTATATTTTATTTTACGTCATCAAATAGCTTTGGACATGATATATACCTCTAAAAATTAAGCTTTTTTGCAAATGCAACAAATGTGAAAATGTTCACCAATAACTCACTTTTTTAGTCTTTGATTTAAAAACGGGATTGTTCTTGACAGCTTGAAAATTGCAAAAGTGATACAAATTCTCAAAAAGGGTGACAAAACTGATATCTCTAATTACAGACCAATTTCTTTTCTTCCAGTCTTTTCAAAAATACTCAAAAAATGTATGCACTCTATAGACTATATAGTTTTCTTGATATGCTCTCAATATGGTTTTTGTAAAAGGCACACAACTGAACATGCAATTATTGAATCAGTTAGTAAAATCTTGGATTCATTCATAGCCGTCAAAGTCCCATTCAATGGAATATGTGTCCCAGTTATTTAACAGAAATTACAAATACATTTAAGAGGAAACTGAAGATACCCTTTATGTCCAAATATATATAGTCAGTACTTAAGTCATTGAAGTTACTTTTTGTCATTGTTATTGTTATTGTAAATCCAGTTCCAGGGCTAGTGGAGACAAGTTTACTTCTAGGCTAGTCCTCATCGAAGCCCTGTGCAATATTTCCTGGCTGCAATAAATTTGAATTTTTTTTTAGGGTCACCTTATCCACCCTCAGCTATGCATAAGCCTCATTCATCCTCGGCTGTTCATACGGCTCATAAATCTTCGACTGTGGATGCGGCTTATCCATCCACGACTAAGGATACGCTTCAACCATCATCGGCTACGCATGAGCAATCCTGTATGCAAGGTGAGCTG